CTACAATGCCCGGCCTCATGTGGCCAGATTATGCAGGCAGTTCCTGCAGGATGAAGGACTTGATACCATTGAATGGATCCTATGCTCGCCTGACCAAAACCCAATAGAACACCTCTGGGTTATCATGTTTTTGGTCCATCTGACACCAACGAGTTGCACCTTAGACTGTCCAGGAGCTCAGTGATGCCCTGGTCCAGATCTGGGAGGAAATACCCCAGGACACCATCTGTCATCTCATTAGGAGCATGTCCCGACGTTGTCAGGCATACATACAAGCACATGGGGGCCATACAAATTACTGAGGACCATTCTGAGTTGCTGCAATGAAATTTCAGCAAAATGGACTAGCCTGCTGCATCATTTTTTCACTTTGATTTTCTGAGTGTATTTAAATTCAGTCCTCTGTAGGTTGATAATTTTCATTTCCATCAAACGATGGGACATTCTTACATTCCTAACACATAGACCTGACTGCTAGCTCAGTCCTATCCATTCAGTCGTCCTCACACATTACCCCGTCCATGTCAGTATAGAAATCCAGCAGGATTTTTTCCCCATTGAGATCTGATGTGTTTTCAAAAGTGTGTTCCTTTAATTTTTTTGAGCAGTGTATTTGCCAAACATGGTCTTGACTTTTCATAGATTACAGGAAGGTATTCTTCACTCATTTTGTAGCAATCCCAAGAATGAAAAGGAGAGGGGCTTCCTTTGCTTGTGTGTTAGGCAGTGTCTCCTAAATGACTTAGAGTTGAAGGATTACAGCCATCTGCTCATTTTGTATAGTAGACCTAGGAAAGGGCTACAGGCTTCAAAGGCATCCGTATCCATATGGATCAGGCAAACCATTGCTTTAGCATAAGAAAATGCAAGTACGCCGTTACTAGCAGATCTGAAGGCTCATTCTACAAGGGCTCTGGCAACATTCTGGAAGAAAAAGCAGGGGCTTCCTAGGAGCAAATTCACAGCACAGACACCTTATCCAGCGAAGATACCTTTGTGAAGCACTACAGAGTGGAAATATTGTCCCAGCAGGATAGTCTTCTGCTGGAAAATCCTGCAAGCAATGGTTCCCTAAGGCAGGCCAGTGTTACTTGATTCTCCACTCAAGTTTGCTGTCCTGAAAAATGATAAGGGAAAATCCCTAGATGGACTTACTGGTAGTTGTGTTTCTGGAAATCTTCCAGGACTGTACGCTTACTTCCAGCCCAGCAGTGGTGGAGAACTTCGTTGTTGTAAATAAGATACTGTATAATGTGTTCCACTTGTGTATGGGTGCAAGAGATTATTTTTATTGCAACTGAGGATGAGGAGTTGGGTGGGTTTTCTAAAGACTGTTTATTGATTGTGTTCCCTAGCAGGGAGGAGCTTCTCAAGTGTGCCATCTTGAAAGATTTCCAGAAAACCCTTAAGTCTAACAGGGGATTATCCAGAAGGTGGTGAGTTAAATGTTCCCTCTCTTGAAGAGCAATGTGTGCCTCTGGTATCTGACACTTTAGGATGTTTTGGATACTTTGCCCCCCTCTGGTCACTGTGGTTTCTCCTCACTAAGTGTCTACTTTGTTCTGTAGTGATATAGTAGCCAGTATAACAAACAACTACACCAAGGTTTCCAACAAACCCAAAGTATCAGATACCAACAGTGTCCATAGACCTTCAAGAGGGCAAAAATTAGACTCACCATCCACCAGATAAGTATTAAATGTTTAAATGTAACAGCATATTTTTGAATACACTAACAAAATACTACAATTAACAATAATAGAGATAAAGCTATAACTAATGGTAACCCAGTGTTGCTCCCTCACATATTAGCGGATAAATGTTTTTGTATTCAGGTCAGGTCTGAACAGAATTATGTAACATTTTGGAAAAAATATACAGCCAAGAAGTCCAGAACTTGATGCTAATATAGCAAAAATCTCCACAGCCACCATGTATTTCCCTCTGGTGCTCAGATAGGCCGGGATCATGGCAATCCAGACACTGCAGAACACCAGCATGCTGAAGGTGATGTACTTGGCCTCATTAAAACTGTCCGGCAATGTCCTGGCTATAAAAGCGATAATGAAGCTCACAGCTGCCAGAAGCCCCATATATCCCAGGACAGAGTAGAAGCCGATAACTGAACCCTCATTACACTGAATGATGATCTTCCCCTGATAAGAGTGAGTGTCCTGATCCTGGAAGGGGGGAGAAATAGACAACCAAGTGACACAGATTATGACTTGGACCAGTGAGAAGACACAAATTATACAATTGGGCAGCTTGGCTCCCATCCATTTCCTCCAGGGACTCCCAGGTTTGGTGGCTTTAAAAGCAATACACACCATGATACTTTTGGCAAGTAGAGAAGAGACGGCAACTGAGAAGATGACCCCAAAAGAGGTGACACGCAGCATGCAGGTTACATCTACTGGACGACCGAGGAACAAGAAGACACAGAGGAAGCTCAGCATGATGGAAGCCAGGAGAAGATAGCTCAGGTTCCAGTTATTAGCTTTAACAATGGGGTGTGTCCCGGTAATCTTAAAATATCCCCAATATTAAACCAGTCAGAAGACAAGAGAAGATAGAGATGGATGAAAATAGTGCAACAATTCTGTCATCAGTGTAGGCGAGAAATTCCACCACTCTAGGAACACACCGATCCTTCTTCTCCTTTGGCCATTCATCGTCAGGACATTTCATGCAGTTTTCACTGTCTGCAGGGAGAACAATACAAACACAATGAGCATCGGGGTCAGAGCTTCTGAGAAAACAAATTATCTTGTGTTGTCTCATGGCTAGTAATAATATCTCCATCAGGGCAATGTGGGAGAGTAAGGTGATTTTCTTATACAGGTTGCCAGAAAGAAAATCACTTGATTCCCCCATCAACACAGTCAGTGGGGGGAGAGGGGGGAGCAGCAAGCCATCGATGCTGGGAGAACACAGTGGTTATTGTTCACTGTGTTCTCCTCAAAATATTTCCAAACCACCTGGCCCCCCACTAGAATCCCCAAGCCGAAGTGTAGGATAGCTGTGATAGCTTGAATAGCTCTAAGCTGTCCCTTGTAAATAGACAGGTGGGTATGGCACTTGGATGATTCTCCTCTATAGGCTCTGGGGTGTAGAATTGAATCTACTCACTTAGTCCCCTGTGTAGATCCTGTAGGTCATGCGGTGACTGCTCAACAGATCTTCTGCTGGACAGCTCCTGAAGGCTCCCAATGTGACTCAGCTAAGCTTAGCTAAAGCTGAAAGGGTGTCAGGGTGTATCTCTTCCACTCTGGCTCCTTCTGCCTGGAGGCAGAGCCCCCCCCCCCCCAGGGGTTTCCTCCCAGGCTACTGGATCCTGAACTCTGCCCCATATGGCCAGGTTCCAGAATACTTATGGCTGTCTCTCCACCTTCTGGTATGTCCTCAGCAAGGGATTTGAGGAGCCTCCATAAATATATATACAGGACTCATCTCTTTTCATTCACCCTCTAACTTCTAAAACTCTCCAGGAGCTTCTAAAAGCCAGGGGGAGGTAACAGAGACAGAGTCCTTTGAGCTCTGCTAACTTAACTCTAAACATATTATCCCTGGCTCCTCTAGCTGCAGCAAAAGTCCAACTAAATTTACCTACTGTAGACAGGGAGAGCAATGCAAGTAACCATGTCTTTGGAGCATGGGAGCAAACCCACACAGGCACAGGTGTGGAGAGAGAACATGCAAACTACAGGCAGGTAGTGCTGTGGTTGTGATTCAAACCAACAACTCTAGTGTTGCTAGGTGGAAGTGCTAACCACTTAGCCACTGTGCTGCCATTTACATCAACCAACCTCCAAGTTCACAAAGTTCCAGGAAAAGTAAATCAAAAAAGACAGCATCTTTTTCCTTTTTTTGACTTTAACCCCCCTGGTGCTATTCCTGAGTGTAGCTCGGGGTTAACTTTCAGTACCAAAAGCGATAACCCCGAGCTACACTCGGGAATACACTGCAGCGTTGCTCTGGGATCCCTCCAGCACTTATCTTGTCCTGCGCTCCCGCGGTGTCCCCCCTGCAGCGTCCCCGGCCATCTCCTCCGGCCAATGCTGGCATCCGTCTTCCAAGTTCCATGCCCTGCGAGCGTTGGGATGTACGGGAAGTACGGGGGACGGAACCGGCGGGAAATTCAAAAATGTAAAAATCTGACATTCACTAAATACACTAAAATCTGATAGTATTCCATTCCTGTATCAAACCATTTCACATACATTTTGTCCCGAGTGCTTTGTTCGGCTCCCTGCCTGCATTTTTACCGTTCATTCTGCCTGGAAACTGAGAACCGTCCATGGCGTCCAAAAAGCGTCCCTTTAGGTCAGACGCGGTTTTAGACCGGCTAGAGAACAGCGATAGTAAATCAGAACCACTTGCAGAATTGAGTGATAATGATTCGTGGGGGAAATTCCTCATCAGACACTGAAAACGATTCTGCGACTTTGCTCAGTGATGTGCGAACTTGGCGCTCTATTTCACATTTCAGTGTTTTTGGTTTGATTTTATTATTGGATTACATTTATTATTATTATTTTTTATGATTATTTATTATATTATAATTTATGATTTCGTGTTTCAAGTTTTATCATACCCGGGATGTTTACTAGACTCTTGTTCAGACAGATTTCAGTGAGTTATTCCTAATAATTACAGCCTACAATAAAAAAATACATATTTCCATGCAAAAAAAATGTACCGCATTGAGCACAGAAATACTGACATAATCAGACCGCTAGGGAGGTTAAATAGGAAGGATCAGAGGCAGCTCAATGAAAGTTCTGACGCAAGTCCATTTGTATCCAGCAGCCCATACATCCAACACGGGTCTGTCAATGTCAACGTAGACACACACTAAGCTGCCATTGATGTCACAAAAATGGCGTCCATCCTGTTCAGCTCCGATTCAGTAGAGGTCTGCTCATGAAGCACCTGATGAGCAGAGTTAACAAAGCGCATGTGAAAGGGCCCTAAGGAATACTTTTTTCCAGTTAATAATCACACCTTGTAGATTACACATACAGAAGGTCGGCTGCAGGGGCGGACTGACCATTTGGAAAGTCGGGCACTGCCTGAGGGCCCGGGGTCAGTAGGGGACCCCATGAGATGCCCCTGGTACCTTTTTCATAGGCTTTTTTGAGTTTGGGCAAGGACACAGGGGCCCCATGATCCCCTATTGCCGGGGGCCCCATGAGTTGTCAGTCCGCCCCTGGTCGGCTGTATTACATGAACAATGCTACTAAGGTAGGCGGCTGCTTTAAAGGGACAGAAAGAAGGTGGACATCAGGTGGATGTGATTATTACATAAGATTCTTAAAGGGAATGTACAATCTTTGTTGTTTTGTTCTCTTCCCATCATTATTTAGTGTCTATCAAGTACAACCATATGATAAACATAAGAAAATAAACATTCACCTATACACTGAATGCATACAGAGTACAGACCATTGGGGAATACAACACTCTTACTGAAATGGTGTAATCATGAGGAGGACTAAATGGTGGAAAGGTATAATTAGTCTTCTAGTCGTCAACTATCTAGTGGAGTTGCCAGAGTTGAGGTTACAGAGAAATTGGGGTGTTGTATTCATACTGGATTTAGGTAATTATGAGAATTTGTAGGAAAGGGGTCCAGTCAGGGCCGATGCTTCCATTAGGAAAACTATGCAGCCGGCTAGGGTGCACTGCCACCTAGGGGCACCTGGGTACAGCACAGGCCAGTACTCTCTATGTGGCCTATGGACCTCTTGTATGAATTCTTAATTTCTCTGCAGAATCCCCCTCTCCTCAAACACAGGGAAAGATAGTATTTTTACTCTGCACAATTGACTCACAGCCTGTCTACACACATGACCATTTAGTACATATATGCACACACATGACAGTATTCCATGTAACAGTGAAGCGTCGGCTGATGACATTAGCCCAGGACCCAGGCCCAGGGTGGTCAGCAGTCTCTGATTGGAGGATCGGTCCATACATCTCCTGTACACGCATTGGCACACACAATCCTACAGCTGTAACAGGGAGCGGGCTAATAACCGAATGGGGCGTGTCCAGTGCTGGCTCTGCCTACTGTACGTCTACAGAGATGGAACCAATCAATAGGAAAGGGTGTGCTCTGGTTTCAGGGTTAACCCTATGTGAGTAGGTTGATCAGGTCCCGATGTGTATGGGAAGGAAGCGGTGTAGTGCTGGTAGGCCGCCTGTCCTCAGTGAGAGCTGCAGTCTGGACTCCACACCTTGGCAGAAGCAATCTGAAGTAAGCCAAGCCTAGGAGGATGGCAGGTCATGGAGGTGACAGGAGGAGGAGGGGCTGGACAATGGTTGGGATGAGGGGGGGCAGATGCTGATTGAGTGTGTGGGACGCCGTCACATCATGAATGATCCTTCAGCTGAGGGTAGGGGTGGCAGAGGGGGAGGAAGAAAGGACAAAGGAAGATGTATTTATGTGAAGAGGGTGATGGGAACAAAAGTGGGTAAAGCAGGGAAGTAGAGAAGGGAGTTTAGATGGGGCTGGTTAGGGGGCAAGTGTGGGCAGGTTCAGGAAGGGGTAAGAGAATAATGTGGTTGTATTTTAGGTGGTGTAGGTATTAAAGTGGAACTTTAGGCTGGGTTTTATAAATGGGTGGACAGGCAAGATTTTTAATGCAGAAGAGACATGCTTTAACCGGTTCCTCCGGGTGGACGCCATATGGTGTCCTTCCAGGAATGTGCAGTTTGCATGCCTGCAGAGCTGCGCAGTGGCACGATCTGTCACCGGCCGTGTACCTCGGACACGGCCTATGACAGATCTGTGTACCGGCCCCGTTGCCAGTACCGTGTGACCTGCTGTGACCAATCACAGCAGGTCACATGACAGTTGTATACAATGGATGGCTTCCTTTCATGCCATCCATTGTATACAAGTGTGGCTAGCTGTGAATGGTCACAGTGATCACGTGCACAAGCTGGGCCAATCACAGCCCAGCTGTGTCATGTGATTAGCTGTGGCCAAATCACAGCTAAGCACAAAAAAAAAAAAAAAACCTGAATGAATCGATTTCCTTCCGGTAAATGCTTGCTTATAGCAAAGTAATTCTTTGCTGTAAGCAAATTGTGTAAAAAAAAAAACAAAAAAAACATACTGATCACTTCCCCAATGTAGTACGATGTTACTATGGTAACATTGTACTACTTTGGTCATAGTGAAATGGGAAAAAAAATCTTAAAAAAAAGAAAAAAAAGTAATAAAAAATAATAAAAAAATTAAAACAAAATTATCAATTTTTTTTCATACTGTCACCAGTCAGTGTCCCTGATCACCACCATGCTAGTTATATGATGACGCTGTACTGCACTAGTGACAGTATGTAAAAAAAAAATATTGAAAATCATTTTTTTTATTTCTTCATTTCTGAAAAATTATGACAAAAAAATTACAACTTCAAAAAACTCGCCATGCCTCTTATGAATTACGTCGAACCAGGGGCGGACTGACCATTTGGAAACTCGGGCACTGCCCGAGGGCCCGGGGTCAGTAGGGGGCCCCATGAGATGCCCCGGTACCTTTTTCATAGGTTTTTTTGAGTTTGGGCAAGGACACAGGGGCCCCATGATCCTCTATTGCCCAGGGGCCCCATGAGTTTTCAGTCCGCCCCTGCGTCGGACTGTCTACTTTGCACAAAGTGGTCATTTGGGGGGATATCTGTCCTGTCCTGACATTTGGGGGATATCTGTACTGTCCTGACATTTGGGGGATATCTGTACTGTTCTGACATTTGGGGGATATCTGTACTGTCCTGACATTTGGGGGATATCTGTACTGTCCTGACATTTGGGGGATATCTGTACTGTTCTGACATTTGGGGGATATCTGTACTGTTCTGACATTCTTGGACCTCAAGAAATTAGATTGGCTGTCAGTACTTCAGGATTGATCAATATTCAGATCTATACCATAGTTTGTGAACTCTATAACTTTCCTACAGACTAAATAATACATCCTAATTTGGGTTATTTTCACCAAAGACATGTAGCAGAATACATCTCGGCCTAAATTTATGAAGAACAATTAATTATTTGCAAACTTTTATAACAAAAACTTTTGGTCTTTTTTTGTTAATTTAGCAAAAAATAAAAACCCCAGCGGTGATTAAATACCACCAAAAGAAAGCTGTAGTTGTGGGAAGAAAATGATAACATTTTAGTTTGGGTACAATGTTGTATGACCGCGCAATTGTCATTCAAAGTGTGAGAGCGCTGAAACCTGAAAAATGGCCTGGGCAGGAAGGTGGTAAAAGTGCCCGGTATGGAAGTGGTTAAAGCATCTTACCTGCCTGTCCACCCCTGTACAGTAATCTGCACAAATTCAACAAAGGCAAATTTGATGGAACTCCCACGTATGCAAGTGAGTGCCGTCATCTTCACCAGGCCAATGACAGCAGGTGGTGATTGAGACCCAGAAGCTGGCTGTCCGAAGATGTCAGTGGCCAGCAGGGAGCTCCAGGGATGACGCATCAATGGATTTCAGGTGAGTATAGTTCCGCTTTAAGATTCAACAGAGTGAATCAGGAGCTTGTTCCCCATTATCCCCCTATTTCCGCAGCCCCACCCTTAGATAGTAGTTTCTCAGTCACCCCCGGGCCCCAAGAGTGTTAGGCTCAAAGATAAGACCTGTTTATTGCTAGAAGATAAATGCGGGGAAATTTATAAGGTGAATTGGAAACAAAAGAATCAAAACATATGATGAGTGGTTGTTCATTTAAATAGCTTTCACATATCAACATGTATCAGTCCAATAAGTCATTTGCTATTGCATCTTCCGACATTTATTATTGAATGTGACTTTCTGAAGCCACTCAGCAAAGAAAATGGAATCTGAACACTTCCAGTGGAGGACTATGAGAGATTTTGCAGCATTATGCATATGTATAGCCAGAGAATTCTTATATTTTCACTACCAAGTTATGAATGAAGCAGCAAGATCTTGGTATCTCATTCAATGGGGTTGCCTTTTAATTATGCTAACAGGAAATGGGCCTCCTGCCAGAGGGTTTGATTGAAGGGTGAAGCATGGATTCTATGCCAGTGTCACATTTTCAATGTACTGATAGGAAGAATTTGAGTAGTTTCCTGGGGGCCCTATACAGGCAGAAGATAGCAGTAACAGGCAGTATAGTGACGAGATTGTGTGCCTTCATGGGTGCTAATGTCCCATATTTCAGATCCATGAAGAGACTGATTTTATGTTTCTTATTCACTGTTAAATCCTGCAGTTGAAGAAATGACCATTGAGGAATTAAAGGTGGTGGTATTATAGTAATGATCTGAGCTGTCCAAAGGAATGTCCCTCCTATGAAGTAGTCCTTTATCGGAGGTAAGCTATTATTGGTCCAGGAGGTTACACCTTCCCTTGTAGTAAATCTGAGTTTCCCAAGATTGAAGTCATAGGGCTTGGGATAGATGAAATCCTGGATTGGCTACTAGGTTGTGAAAAACGTATGGGGTATCCTGGATTGATTGGCTGTTTTTACAGAGTTGGGTGGATTGGGTTTCAGGCCGTACAGTAGCTTTGTACATTGTGCTCATTTACTTATTATAAGTAGAGCAGAATATTGTTATGATACTGTAAGTATTTTTTTTCACTTTTTTGTAGTCAGTTAACCATTTGGGTGCCTTTTTTTTCTCCCTAAACTTGTCACAAGTTAGCCTGCATTTTTCTGACTGTATTCTTGCCTCCTTGCTGCAGTGCTTTCTCTACCCTTACATTCTTTCTCACCCATGGGCATCACCTGCAATTCAGTGGACTTATGTTTCCTTCCCCCCTTCCTGACCCACCTCCTTGTTTGCTTGCCTATATATGACATGCTCAATGTAGCCCATGTTGCCTGAGCAATGTCACAGTTCTCTGAGCGACCACAGATGCTTCACCAAACTACCCTGTGTCCTAGATAGGGATGAGCCAGACTGCCCTGGGTTCAGTTACAGTAGGGTTCAGCAAACTTCAAAGTTCACATACCAAGCCTGGAGGTGCCCTAATCCTGCCATGTGATGGGGCACACCTCTGTAATGTACAGAAAGTGCTGCAGCAACACTGATATCTATAAAGCAAAGAAGTGTTTGAAAGTGCTGGAAATTTACTTTTCCTTGCTAGCCTTTTGACAAAAAAAACTGGCAACAAAAAAGTAATTTTTTTCCGAAAGGGCACATTTTCATACGTCCATCCACACACCCAAACAGCCAAAGCTCAGTGTGAACAAAGGGTTGGACCAAATCATTGCTCATCCCTAGTCCCAAAGTGTTTTTGAAATTTTGGTGGTGTTGGTTCCACACGTTATACTGTATGTTTTAGTAGCTAAAGCTGAAATTTACACACACAGTTAAGTCAGAGAAATAATTTATTACCTACCCTCAGTATGGCTCCATCCAATCAGAAACAGAGAGTCTGAAAGGAAACAGCAACTGGTGTGTTTGTTCTTTTGAACACTCAATGATTTTGGATTCTTTAGTTACGTAGTAAATCACCCAAACTTATTTTGGATTAAATAGGGAAGGGTTAAAACAGCTATTAGGTTATATGTTGGTCTCTGTGTCCTGTTGAGGTGATTTCCCTGACGATGCAACAGGAAGAGAACATTTTCTAAAAGAGAAGGGAGTGTTGTCACCAGAGCAGACTTCTCCATTGGCAATATTCTCCTAATCTATAGCTCTCAGGACAACTCGAAAAGTAGAATTTTCCATCACTTTTGGTCATCATAGAAAATGCAGGGGTGGCTCTCCCCAATGGGGACTCAGATAGAAAAAACATTTTTGAGTCAAACCTTTCTCCACTCTATCCAAAAGTAAAAATACTTTAGTTTAAATCTATACACTCATCAAATATATTAAGTTTAAAAAAAGTTTATGTGTGTACATAGTAAAAACAAATAAATAATTATTAAAGACATCATAGTATTCTTTTGTGCTTTTAGTGAGCTTATTGAGAAATGTGTAGATCAGCAGTTTCCAAACTGTATAACAAAGGGCCAGTTCACTATCCTTCAAACTTTAGGGGGGCCAGACTGTGGTGAGCGGGAATAGAAAATGTCATAGTGTTAGTGCGAGTAAACAATGCCCCATTATTAGTATTGGAGAGAGGAATAATACTCCATCACTGGTGTCAGTGGGAGGAATAGTGTCCCATCATTGGTATTACTGGTAGGAATAGTGCCTCATTGTTGGTGTCAGTGGGAGGAATAGTGCCCCATTATTGGGATCAGTGGGAGGAATAGTGCTCCATCATTGGTGTCACTGGGAGGAATAGTGCCCCATCATTGGTGTCAGTGGGAGGAATAGTGCCCCATCATTGGTATTACTGGTAGGAATAGTGCCCCATCATTGGTATTACTGGTAGGAATAGTGCCTCATTGTTGGTATCAGTGGGAGGAATAGTGCTCCATTATTGGTGTCAGTGGGAGGAATAGTGCCCCATCATTGGTGTCAGTGGGAAGGATAGTGCCCCATCATTGGTATCAGTGGGAAGAAAAGTGCCCCAGCATTGGTATCAGTGTATTGTTCTGTAGTGATGTAATGTTTGGTGAGAGGAACCACTACACCTAGCAGGGGACAAGATTTCCAACAAACCCAAGTATCTACTCATCATCTACTGGAGAAGTAAGTATGAAAATGGTTGTAAACCCTTAAATATGCCCAATGAAGGGACTGGCCTCAGGTGATACACAGGGATTAAACAAATCCTCCTACAGTAGATGAGCATTTTTATACAGTATGTAGCCATTTCTCCTGTTGATCATTCTAAAACAACACAGATCAAGCTCAGCTCTAGCAGGCAGGGGGAAGAGATCTGCCATTACACACTACAGAGCTAGAGCATAGAGCTCCCTGATAGCTAGGAGAGGAGAAGGACAGACCCCCTATACACAACGCTATAGAACAAAATACAGAGCTGAGGCTATGAGTCACCTCCTGCTGGAGGGGAGCAGCCAAATCCCTCAAGGCTGTTGCATCAGCTTAAGCCAGGCATACATGGATCCAGATTCAGCTGATTCAGCAGGGACAGGATGAACTTAGATCCATCTATGGGGACAGTAGTTATACAGAAATCAATCTATGTCAGCCTGTCAGATTAATGCCACTCAATGAGCGTTTGAAACTGGCTGCACTGATCAGTGTATTCTGATGCCAGGGAAGTCTGCAAGCTGTCAGAACACAAAAGCTCAGAACGAGTGATTTCCCCCATCCATATTGAATGTGTGGAAGGAGGATTCAGATCAGTTTTTTCGTTCAACCTGCTGGTTTAACAAAAAATCCTGAATTATCTTTGGGTTGCTTCAGAGTCTTTTCAGTGACTCATCCAGATAGCAGAGGGATAAGAGAGGAATCACACTTATTGATTTGGATTCAGGCTAGTATACATTATAGAGAGAGGTGCTTTGTTCATTTTTCATGTTTGAGGTTTACAGTCAAATGTTTAAATTTAACAGTATTCATTCTCAATACTCTAGCAAAATGCAAAAATTAACAGAGATAATGCTATAACTACAGGTAGCCCAGTGTTGCTCCATACATATTAGCGGATAACTGTTCTTGTATTCAGGTCAGGTCTGAACAGAATTATGTAACATTTTGGGAAAAATATACAGCCAAGAAGTCCAGAACTTGAGGCCATTATAGCAAAAACCTCCACAGCCACCGTATTTTTCCCTTTGGTGCTCA